AATCTTCCAGCCTTCTGGGTGTTGGATTACAATTCTGCCTCGTTTTTTTCCGAGTGGGAAGCACGTTTCGACTAACAATGGTGGGACTGGCGAGGGACCATTAATCCAACCTTGCCTGTTCAGCAAGTTACTGAGAAAGGGAGGTGAGCAAACACATCTCTGGCCCAAGCTTAAATTTAGCTTCATTCAAACGGAGTTAATTATATTCTGCTCGTGGAGTTTCGAGTGATTCCGTCTTATCGGACTCTTATTATAGCAGAGGAAATTAATTTTTCATCCCACCATAAAAATGAAGGTGATAATCTGGGTTCAGGGGAGGGATTAATTGAGGAAGATTCAGAAGGGAATCTTTCTATGTAGAAGGATTTTGTGATATTTGAAGGGATCCTTGGTTTTGTGTCTCTCTGGTCCAAAATAAATGTGAAATCCAGGATTGGAGAAGTGAGTTGTAGGACTTGCTGTTGGGTTGGACTTAAGTCACACTGGTGACTCAACTCAGACTTGATTTGGGTTCCCACACCCAATGATTTGGACTCGATAGACTTAAGTCACACTGGTGACTCAACTCAGTCTTGATTTGGATTCCCCCCCCCCCAATGATTTGGATTCGATGCATGAGTTAGAACTCATGACATCCTCCCTTTTTTTCTGGGGGAAAAACTTGTTTTTTGATAGGGATTCGGACATGTAGTTTGGGAATTGGGACTTGGAGAAGACTCCCTGGAAAAGACCCTAATGTTGGGAAAGTGTGAAGGCAAGAGGAGAAGGGGATGACAGAGGACGAGATGGATGGACAGTGTCACCGAAGCGACCAACATGAATCTGACCCAACTCCAGGATGCAGTGGAAGACAGGAGGGCCTGGCATGCTCTGGTCCATGGGGTCACGAAGAGTTGGACACAACTTAACGACTAAACAACAACAACGAAAGGTGTTGACTCAGACTTGATCCTTGGTCCTGAAGACTTGCCAACATTCCTGCTAGAAAACCCTGCTTTGTAATTTTTGGGATGAAGTTGTCCTGTCGCTGTCTTTTTGCAATATTCCCACAACTTAATGTTCATCCTGTCACAAGTTACATCGAAGTTATATACCACCCTGTCTGCCTGCCTTTGTGCCACTGATAAATGTGAAGGACTCACATTTATTCTAATGTGGAGGGATCAGATCTGGAAAATTGGTCTTCCCCAACTACTGCTCCCAGAATTCTCCAAAGAAAATGCGCACCGAAGCCCCCCCAAATCTAACTCTCCACTAAGTCTGGTTTCCCAAACTCTGGGAGGGGCTGCTCAGAAATGTCATCCTCTAAAAGGCTTGAGGATTTTTGAGAAGTCTTCCGCTGAAGCCATGGAAGTCCTCAGGTTTCATCTGTATGCCACTGCTGTGCCATGCTGTGCGGGAAGAAAAGACGCTGGCAAAAATATATATATATATCTAAGGGCACAGATGTGGCTTTCATGCATTTTTCATTGCCACCGGAGCATTGACAGAGATAAGCAGGCAGGACTAAAAACAAAACTTCAACAGGCGGGAGAGGGAACTTGCCATGCCAAGGGTAACAGACACCATGTTTTCAAGCTGTGTGTGCTGTGGAGCGCGGCAGGTCCTTTGGGGGTATACTGCTCTCTTTTTTAAAGCTCTCTGACTGATCGGTTCTTGGGGTCAAGATGGAATTGCATGGCTCTGATTGTTATTTCAATCAGGAGTCTCCCCCTCTTCTTCCTCATCCTCTAGTCTCCTACTTCTTCTCTTTCTCCTTCTCTTCCTTCATGTCCTCTTCCTCATCTACCTCTTTTTTCCTCTTCTCCTCCTTAACCTCTCCTCCTCTACTTCTGCTTCTATTTCTTTTCCTTTTCCTCTTCACCTTTCCTTCTTTCTTCCTTCTCCCCCTCTACCTCCTCCTCTCTTTCTCCAATACCCCTATTCCTGCTTTTAGACTTCCTCCTCCTTCTCTACTCCTCCTCATCTCCTCCTCCTCCTCTTTTAGTCTACTTCTTCTTCTCTTTCTTCCCTTCCTCTACTTCCTCTCCTTTCACCTTTTTTCTCATCCTCTTCCTCTTCTATTTCTCTTCCTCCCTCTTTTCCTCTTCTCCTCTCCTCCTCCTCCTCTACTTCGGCTTCTATTCCTTCTCCTCTTCACCTTTCCTTCCTTCCGCCTTCTCCTCTACTTCTCCTTTTCCCCCACTCCCCCTGCTCTACTTCTGCTTCTGTTCCTAGCCTTCCTCCTTCTCCTCTTCTTCTATTTCTCCTCCTCTTTCTGATGACCAGCGTGGTTGTGCTAAATTCAACACGGACTTCTGCCTACTGGATTTCATGTGCATTCCATGTCACATATCCTCCCTCTGTGGTTCCACGGCTGTTCTTCACTTACTCTCAAATGGAACTCCCTGATGGTTCTTCGCCAACCTTCAACACAACCAGCATTAGCATAACAGATGATTTAATAGACCCCATATCTGGCTTCCCACCCCTCACCCAGTACTTCATTTTTCACCATCTCCATACTGAGATTCATGGGGAGGTTCTGAATCTAGGAACCCAAAGGACGGGGGGCTTGTCTGTGCAGGGATGACGGATGTGTTTCTCAGATGTTCCGATGGCCTCGTAAAATGCTGCTAAATTCAGATATCAGAATTTAGTTGCAGGCAAATGCCGGGACAAACCTCACCCTGTCTCTTGGGGTTTTATGGCTTCCCATATAAGCTCTCAGACAAAATTTGTGCATCATTCGTCTTGACTTATAGCCGGGCTGGGATTCTTCACCTCGTAGCCAGCTCTCAAAAGATGCTCTGAATTGCGGTTGCTCAGATGAAATTGAAATGGGGGAAGAGGAGTGTATATATGTTTTATATATGAACTTGTAAATCAGGGCTTGAGGGATGCGAAATGCTGGGGTAATGGGAGGAAGTAAAGACAATATGCAGTATAACATCAGCACATCTGTATTTTGCAATTTATGGCGGGGAATGCTGAGCCATCAAAGTGCTTGGCAAGGCAAAGCAAACCCTTTCCCAAGCTGAGCTATCCGAGAGATGTCGTGATGAATGCTCCACCTCGTGCCATAAGAAATTACTCAGAAGCTCAGGGCAAATAGAAGCAGATGTGCCTTCATGTAGCTCTGTTTCACCCCACCGACAAGGCACTAAGAGGATGGATCGGCAGAGGCTGATGACTCTGATTTCATTGGTGACAAATCCACTCTGGATTTGAAAGTGAACAGAACAGGAACTCTCCTCATTATCATACTCAGTTTCAGTACCTTGGACAGCTCCTGCCAAGATCCAATTGAAAACTCTCCTTGAATCGGAGTTGTCAGGATCCCCTGTGGTCACCATGAGTTTAGAGCAGTGCTTCCCAACCTTGGGTCCCCAGATGTCCTTGGACTACAACTCCCAGAAATCCTAGCTAGCACAACTAGTGGGCAAGGCTTCTGGGGGTTGTAGTCCAAGAACATCTGGGCACCCAAGGTTGTGCATGGACTGTCTCTCTCAACATATTACGTGTAAGACAATGTAGCCCTCAGACTAGAAAAAAAGAACTCAGAGAAGACACACCTGTTGACAGATTTTGCTTCTTAAATGCTGAACTTTATAGAGGCTTACATGAGAGTTCACACCCTTTCGCTTAGCGCATATTTCTTCTGAGCAGAACTCTACAACTCCTCCAGGTGGCATGAATAGGAAGGGAAGCTGTCTGGGTTTATCTACTGGCCACCCTCCCATGTCTCAGGCGAAGCAGGGACTCTCCAGTTGTGTGCCACATTATCCTTTGCAAACAAACAAGCAAAGGAGTCCAGGGAGTCCAGTTATTTTGGAGTGAGTGGGTAGAGATCAGTTCACTCCCAAGTTTTGTCTGAACTTCACAAGAGCTACTCAAGGGGCAGGAGGTGTACTCTATAAATAACCACCTGGCAACAGAGCTGCTAAAATGACCCTCCATTTTGAAATAAGGGCTCTGGAGATGGTCATGTTTGGGCTGCTTTCTTACAAAGGCAGTGGATGCATGGGGGGTTGGACTTGATGGCCTTGTGGACCCCTTCCAACTCAATGATTCTATGATGAAAGTCCAAATAGCTTGGGAAGTCAGGAAGTCCATTCTCAGCCTCACAGCCTTAGATTCCTCATCGCTGCTCTAGTTGTTTCTGGACATTCTGTGTTGAAGCAAAAATTGAGTGAGAATCACTATCCCACCCCTACTTCCAATGGGAAACCCGTGGAGGTTCCTTCTGTCTACAGAGGAGACATCTGGATGGAACCTTTTGCATTCAATCACATTAAACTGATATTCTCATTGTTAGAACATACGGCAACGGTGTGTGCATGGTCTCATGTGTAGAACACACCCTATGTGCATTACAGGCTGTTAGGGATCTCAGCGATGTTCTGAGAAACAACAACAAAAAGCTTGTACAGTGGTGCCTCACGTTATGATTGCCCCGCATTACGATGAAGCCGCATTATGACAATCTTTTTGCAATCACAATTGTGATTGCAAAATGATGGTCTAAATGGGTTTTTTTCTCTTTGTGATGATCGGTTCCCTGCTTTGGGAACCGATTCTTCGCGAAACAATGATTTTAAAACAGCTGATCGGCAGTTTCAAAATGGCCACCGGGTAAACAAAATGGCTCCCCGCTGTTTTCTGGGACGGATTCCTCGCAAGACAGGCAGCGAGAACAGCTGCCCTATGGAGGATCTTCGCTGGACGGTGAGTATTGACCCCATTGGAACGCATTGAAGGGGTTTCAATGCGTTTCAGTGGTGTTTTTTTGCTTTACAATGTTTTCGCTTAACAGCGATTTTCCTGGGATGGATTATCGTCATTAAGCAAGGCACCACTGTACACATACTTTGGAATGCCTGGCAGATAATGATCGTTAAGCGAGGCACCACTGTACACATACTTTGGAACGCCTGGCAGATAATGACTTTGAATGAGCCTCCATGGGAATGAAATGGAAAGCTTTCAGTTACCTTGCTCTCTTTTCTTTTGCTCTGCAGTGGTCAACGGCCGAGGAGGAGTTGTCGATAGCATGCAACGGTTTACAAGCTTGCCTGTGTACCTCCCTGCGAGTTACAGCATCTCCAATGCTGACATTGCCTTCTTCCTCAAAGAAACCAACCAGGACATCATGAGGAACGCCAGTTTGCAATCCCGAACGGAGCCTTTCCTTGTCTATAGGACCACCGGCTTGCCTGTTCTAAATGTTACCTACGGCCCATTTGCCGTGGAGCAAATAGTGCCCCCAAACCTCCTGTGGACCTCTGCTCTCTTCAGTTTCACTGACCGGTTCACATTTAATTGGAAGTTACAATCGCACATCATCGACAGCTCAGTCTACGCCAACCGGCCCAAAGTCCAAACTTTGTTCTACGTCGCCGGCCAAGGTTGGGATCACGACGATGCTGTGGAGAGCCTGCCCTGCGTGCGGATGGCGGCCTTCCAGGAGGAGAAAGTCACCGTCGGCAGTTGTCGGTTGAAAGGTCCTTTGGGGTTATGCGTGGCGGAGCTGGAGTTTCCACCAGGTTGGTTCAACGTTGAGTTGGCCACTCCTTTACCGCCCTCACCGCCCGACGTTCAGCAGATGGTGGACTCGTTGGGAGGGATCACAGTGGAACTTTTCTATTGGGTGTATGTGTCCGATGGAGATTGCTCTTCAGATGACCCCAAATTGGAAAGCTTCGGCCACCCAAGTGGCCAGGAGGAGACACAGCTGCCTTTGGTGTCGATGGAGCGAGTTGGAAGTGTTATCCTCTACCCAACCCAAAATAAGCTGAAGAAGTCTGTGTTAAACCTCGATGACAATCTTCTACTTTGTTTACCAATTAGCCCGGTCAAGGAAGGGGACCTGGTTATGGTTCATGTCTCCCTCGCCGGTGGGTCTCTAGTAGATCAGTTTACACTAAGGTGAGTTTGCTCAGTGCATGTTCTCAAGAATATGTGAACTGTCGTTAAGGTACTGACCTTCACCCTTATCAACCTGGGTTGCTCAATAGCTCAGTGGTTGGGAGTTCGATTCCCCACTATGCCTCCTTGACAGGGGCTGTACTTGATCCACAGTTCTAAGATGGTGATGATGATGATCACAAAAGAGGCCGCTATGGTCAAGACAGTAGACTCTGTTTCATTGGTCCCAGTTGAAAGTAGGGTTCTGGATCCCTGATCCATTTCTGTACCAAAGTCCAGATTGAACAAGGTGCGAAACCAACGGAAGCATTCTTTGGTTTAGGGTTCCAGCATCCTATGTTCCTTCCTAGCTTTCTCAGTTCTGGGGAGGGGGGATCTGTCCTATTTTGGGGTGGAGCTATGCAAATACTAGAACGGAACTGACAGTGATAAAGGGGGCGGGGTTATGCAAATAGACCGGAGCTGGCTCACAGGCTCTTGCTGAAAAGCAAAAGGCAATGTACACGAACGAAAACTTTCGATCACGGCAACGTTGATGGACTTTGGTTGGTGGGTGCGTGTGAATATGCAGGCAGAGTGTAAAACACTGGAAACTGGTCCTGCCTTTGGCTGAGAGAAGGACTGGTGTTTGTGAGGCTCTCCTCCTATGAGCTTGGTTAACTTTGGGTATTTACCACTGTTTTGGGTGGGAGGAGGTGGAATGAGATAGCCTTGGTTCTCCCGCTTCGGGCGACAAAAAGTCTTGGGCAGCCCCTGTACGGTGACATTTCACACCCTTCAACCACTCAATTAGAGGAGGAAGGCATGCAAAAATAAACCGAGCGACCTTTTGCAGTTGCCATGATCAGAGGGAGCATAATTGCATTAGCGCAGCTAAGCAAATTAACACCTGTAGCCGGATTTGAAACCATTGTTTCCATTCAGAGTCCAATGAACGGAGTCAAACTTGGTTATTAGTTCTAATTCAGCTATTTCACGCTCGAGTCTTCCTTTGAAAATCTCCGCTAGAGAATGACAGCTTTTGCAGCTTCAGAATGCTTTCGGAGATGGAGGCGTTCTCCGACCATGATGGCGGCATGTTGCTCTGTCTGGTATCAGATCTCTCTCTCTCTCCCCCCCCGGTTTAATTTTCTGTGTAGAGTCCGATCTCGTTATCTTGAAAGGAAAGTGGAGGAAATGCAAACAGAATTCTCTTTTGAGACAATTGTGTTAAAGCCTAAGCATCATAAAAGTGCCCATTCGTGACAGCTGTTGACTGAGGATAGTGTTGGAGTTTTTACAACCTCGCATGCTGCCCGTAGTTTGTTTGGATGGGAAGAGAAATTTCTGGGCTGGGACAATTGTCAGTCTATCCGGCAGTAACCAATCATTTCTTCCCGCCTCTGAATTCAAAGAGAGCCCCGCCTCTCTGCTAAGTTTCACCTTTCCCTCTCTTTAGTCTGTTGGAAGCAATTTTGTTAGTTTGCTGTTGATTTGCCCACACTGTCTGTCTGTCTGTCTGTCTGTCTGTCTGTCTGTCTGTCTGTCTGTCTGTCTGTCTGTCTGTCTGTCTGTCTGTCTGTCTGTCTGTCTGTCTGTCTGTCTGTCTGTCTGTCTGTCTGTCTGTCTGTCTGTCTGTCTGTCTGTCTGTCTGTCTGTCTGTCTGTCTGTCTGTCTGTCTGTCTGTCTGTCTGTCTGTCTGTCTGTCTGTCTGTCTGTCTGTCTGTCTGTCTGTCTGTCTGTCTGTCTATCTATCTATCTATGGTCTACGAAATATGGTCATTCTTTCGTCTACCAGTGTCTCCGAGTGAGTTCCTGAAACTTTAAGTGCCAGTGAATGAGAAAGGGGTGGACCATCTGGGAAACTTGAAGCTGTTCTCTTCTGTGCGTCTATATTTCTGTGGCCTAACAAAAGAGACTTTTAACCAGACATTCAAAGCTCTGTAACAGGTCGACACCAAGGTCTTGGCCTCGCTCCGTCAATTAAGAGCCACGGCCATGATTCCAGATGGAAGATGTTGTTTAAGGATCACTTTAAACGGCAAACATTCCTAGGCATGGAGGCAATCTTTCCAGCCAGTGCACTTTATAGGATCCCATGCCATCCCACGGGAACATCTCCGTTTAGAGCTGTACAACACGGAGAGAGACTAAAGCTCAGCTTTAGGAGGGGGGAGAGAAACGAAAAGGCCAATAGGTAATTGGAAAGCGTGGCATGCTGAGAAAAGCGTTAGACCGCTGGGGAAGGAAGGAGTTATGACTGGCAACTTCAAGAGAGACATGCTGCGTCTCGTTTTAGTGCAGTGTGCCTTGCCGTGCTTGGAGTGATGATATTTTATTTGTTTACCTGTGATTCGCCTCTCCATGGAAAGAAAGCAAGAAAGAAAAAAGCTCAGGGCAAGATATGATAAAGAGAACCAGAAAGGTCGATCATTTCTTTCTTTCTTTATGCCCTGCCTTGGTTGACGATGTATTAATTTTTTTTGAATCATGCCTCACTCTCAAAAGTAGGGCCAGAGCTGGTTTACAAGTCAGGTTTGGGAACACTGAAGTTTTTTTTGTCTCTCTCTTTTAAATGTTGCTGTTGCTGCTTATATTGGGGCCAGATATTGCACCGAGATGTGCCACTTTTTCAGGGTTTCAGCCGGTCACCCACAGAGAATATATCTGGATGCTCCATTCCTTTCCTTTCACTTTTGTTGAGAAGGTGGAAAGAGGTGAAATACAGTGGTGCCCCGCTTGACACTTACCCTGCATGACGTTGATATTGCTTTACGATGAGTTTTTTGCGATTGCTATTGCGATCGCAAAACGATGGTTCCAATGTTTTTTTTTCGCTTGACGTTGGTTAGGAGCCTGCTTCGTGAACCGTTTGTTCGCTAAACGACAATTTTTACGGCTCCGCAAAATGGCTTCCCTTCGTAAAATGGCTTCCCTCCCTTCGCAAAATGGCTGCCTTCCAGACCCCTGCTTCGGAAGACAGTGATTTTAAACAGCTGATCGGCAGTTCTCTATGGGCAATCTTTGCTGGACAATGAGGTATTTCCCCATTGGAACGCATTGACCGGTTTTCAATGCATTCCAATTAGGTTTTTTTTTTGACGACAATTTCGCTTTACAGCGATTTTGCTGGAATGGATTATCATTGTCAAGTGGGGCACCACTGTACTATCCCAGAAGTCAGGGCATGTACTAGTGGGCTCAAGTTTGAGGAAGCCAGGTTTAGGCTGAATATCCGGAAAAACTTCCTAACTGCTAGAGCAGTATGGCAATAATAAAAAATTCTTGAGAGGCGGCGAGTGCTCCAACATTGGATGCTTTCAAGAGGAAAATGGAACAACCCTCTGTCAGATCTGCTTTGATTTGGATTCCTGGTTTGAGCAGAGGGTTGGACTTGATGGCCTTAGAGGCCCCTTCCAGTTGAATTATTCTATGACTCTAAAAGGCTGAGAAGCAATAAGGAACAGAGAGATGCTGCGTGATTGCTGCCCGAAGCCCTTGAGCCCAGCTGGGCTGCAGCAATGAACAAATGTGCATTTCCCTATGAGGCAATTCAGTGTTACCAAGTTGGCCTGTGGAGAATGTATTCAACAGGAATGTTATACTTTTAGCGGAGAACCACACGGAGGGAAATGGAAACCACCGTGGCTTCGGCATCTAATTTATACAAGTTTTCTCACAGGCCCGGCTTCTTTTGTTTCTGGCCCATTAGTAATGTCCATAAAGACCTAGGAGGTGTTTTATATATAGAATTGCTCTGTCTTCCCGCCAGATATATATGCAGGAATGTGTTTGCTTTGGGAGAATGGGTTTTCCCTTTGCCCATGATAACGGATTGTTTTTAATCAGGGCAGTTTTAAGTGTGGTGTGTGATACATTCCATTCAGGATAACACAAAGTTATAGATCAAAGCAGAGCTTTTTGTGTGTGTGTGTGTGTGTGTGTGTGTGTGTGTGTATGTGTGTGTTTGTGGGGGGGGCCCTCAACCTCCCTGCTGGCCAATATAGCAAATGCTGTTTGTTCTGGTGCACTTTGAATGTTTGATGGATTAAACCTTGCTTTTTGGGGGTTCCTTGTACAATTCTGTTTTAGCTTAAAAAACAAACAAACAAAAAACTGGGACTTTTTAAACACAAGGTTTCTGTTTGAGTTTTTGTTGTTAGCGGCTCTGTTTCAAACGGTGGTTTTTATGCCTGGGTTTGATGCATTTTTATGTATTTTTAATGTAACCCATTCTTAGTACGAATGTAGGGGAGCGGGATAAAAATAAATGATGATAGCATTTTATTTGCTTCATGGCCCTGTTTATGCTTTCCGCAGCATGCGCGCGTGATGGGGCCAGCAGGAATAGTTCTGAACGTGTCTGAAGAAGTGAACTTGCTTACCTTAAAATATTACATTAAAAGTTTACGTTAAAATAGATCAGTTGGCCTTTAAGACGCCATGTTTTTCTGTTCTTAATTTTTTTCTGTTTATTTTATTTGTTTGCCAGATATTCTGAAAATACGTCGCTCTTTGTGAGAACCATCCATTGTTTGGAGGGTGGTCCTATCTGCTTCGGGGTTCAAAGAGAAAAAAAACCTATAGGATACAGGGCAAAAAGTAGCTTTAAAGTTGTCTATTCACAGGGATCTCCATGATACTACATGGAGCAGGCACATGGGTGATCTGGCCCCCAACCTCCTTCGTTATGATGGGATAATATCAGGTTGATATTGATAACTGTGAGCCCCAACTAGAGATGGGCATGAACCGACTGTTGCAGTTCATGCTGGTTCGTTTTTCAACCGAACAGGTGTTTGGCTCTTCCCAGCCCCACCTCCTCCAGTGGGCGCCCACTCAGACGCAGCGCCTGGAGGACGTGGGGCAGGGAAGCTGGGGTGCTGCCTCCGAATGGGTACCCACTGGAGGACTTGAGGCCAGGAAGAGCCAAACACCTGTTCGGCAGAAAAAGAACCACCACGAACTTTTGAACAGTCGCTTCCTGCCCATCTGTAACCCCAACTAAAGGAAACTATTTG